TCAAAAATGTCAACAGAAGCGAGAGATTTGCAGTCGGCGAACGAGCAAGGACAGGAAAAACAAAGGGAATTTCGATCGAAGAAAACACCGGAATACTTGAAGGATTATGTGGATATCCCAGGACAAACAAGGAGTAATCTTGGGGTTGTGAAGAATCGGAGAACAATTTTGAAAGGTAATTTAACCAAGAAAATAAATACCATCAGAAAATTGACGAATGAGCGAAAGAGTCGCCGATTGATTAACCTTACCTTGAAACAACTCAAAGAAGTGTGGAATAAAATAGAAGAAAACCACAAGGAGTTTGAAAATCTATGCACGGAGGACGAGGAAAGGCAGAAAGCCGACACGTGGCTTTTAGAAACTCAAGAAAATCTTGAACAGATCGAGCTGGAAGTCTTGGAACAACTTGAAGAAAGAGCCGAAGAATCAGCATCTGTGGTCTCGGCACCAAGCATCGCCGACAAGGTAAACGAAGCAAACAGCAGTGTTGGTGGTTGTATTTTACAGCAAGAAAATGAAAACTGTGACAAAAATAGTGATCTTAACCTGAGTCTTAAAACCAGTGCTTCTATTATGCGGGTAAAACAAGCCGAGAGAGAAGCCCAGATTGCCAAGTTGAAAGTAGAGCAACTAAAAGCAAGATTTAAGTTGGAAACGGAAATTGAAGCTCAAAAGGCGAAAATGGCGGCAGAGAGCTCACAATTGGACGCGCAAATGGCGATCAAAGAAGCAGAATGGGAAGCAGCTCGCAAAGAGAAGGAGGCGGAGTTGTTGCTGGATGGTACGTCTGTCGGATGGGGGGCTCTCAAACGGACTCGGATGTGGGCAAAAAGGATTTCAGCACTATACTGAAAGAGGAAGAGATGGGTTTTGAAGCAGCAAGGGAACAAGAACAACCCCAACATAGCACCCCCGCGAGGGGGGACCTACCCACTGTAAACGAAAATGTGGTAAAGTGGATGAAAGACCTGGCCTTAGAGGAGAAACCGCAGGACAAGAAGCCACACCCACCAGAGGCTTGGGATTCAGTACCTAGGCTGTCCTCGTCTCTTCCCAAGGTACAGTTACCAACATTCGACGGCGATCCATTGCAGTGGCCGCAATGGTATGGATTGTTCAAGGCCTTGGTGGACGAACAGCGTATATTTACGACAGAGAAGATGGTTTACCTAAAATCAGCGGTAACGGGGCCTGCAGAGAGAGCGGTGTCCGGATTGCTGTTCGACGGGWCTATGTATGAAGAAGCTCTGAAGCACTTACAAACTCGTTTTGGAAACCCACAGCTGATTTCAAGAACGCTGATCAGAAGATTGCTGGAGTTACCAAAGCTGCAGGGAGAAACGACAACAGCGCTAAGAACCTTCACTGATAATCTACACAACGTGGTGAGGACCTTAAAGACGTATGGCCATAACGCAGATTTGAAGGCGGCAACCAACTTAGAGCAAGTCGTCAGCAAGTTGCCCACTGCTGTTGCTGAAAGGTGGAGCACAAARCGTATAGACCTTACCTCAAGAGACGTGGGTCTCGAAGATTTAGACCAATGATTAGAAAAGGAGGTAGAAATAAAAGAACTAACCTTTGACTACAACCCGCAAAAACAACAAAGAATGGATGGCGACTACCGCAGAWCCCAAGACCAAAGACCGCGAACATACCAAGCTAAAACTCATGTTGCTACGAATGCTGGTGTCCCAACCGGTAGGAAAAAGTGCGCCATCTGCAACGGTGGACACCAACTTGCAGAATGTGAAAGTTGGACGAAAGCCAGCACGGACGGGCGATGGAGTTTAGCGAAAAAGCATGGACTTTGTTTCCGATGCCTTAATCAAGCCCATACAAGGGAGTCTTGCTCCGCGACTTCACGGTGCGGGGTAGATGCGTGTGACCGAAATCACCACCCCCAACTTCACAAGAAAAGAGTAGTCACAACCAATCTCAACAAAGACGCAAAACCATTCACCCCGGTGAGAAATAACACGGAGGGCAGTAAGCAAGCCGCAAACAGTCAAAGACCACCTCAAGCGAYGACAGACAGTCTGCACCCAGTCTGCGGGGAACGTAAGAGTTCCAGGCCTGTAAGTAGTGGCCTTGCAGACCGTTCCAGTAGTGCTCGTTGGACCGAAAGGAAACAGCCTCAAGGTAAATGCGTTCCTTGATGGAGGTTCTGGTTCTTCCTACATTCGAGAGCAGGTGGCAGATGTCTTAGGATTGGAGGCGACAAAAGAA